AGAAAAATACTTAATTGGATACTTTAGTGATCAAACCTAGTTGTTATTTTACAACTTGCTTTTTTGAATCCTTTGAGTGTGACTATCAAGGCAGAATATCAGGTAACAAGACTAGTATTCAACTTAGAATCTCAGTGTGATTTGTAAATAAGAAAGGACTTTGAAATGCACTTGAGATGAATCTTTCTTCACAGCCTCAAGTTTTAAAAGTATGTTTTATAAGCAACTCTTTTAATAAATCTTTTCATGGCAATACTGATTTTAAAAATTATTTTGCAACTGGAAATCAAGAAGCACGCTGGAATACTTGTTCTATAAAACTCTCAATAAGTAGAGACGTCATTGGGAATCTGTGCAAGGTCTATCATGATGTATAGAATGACCAAGCCAGAGGTTGATGGGGTCATTTTTGTAACAGTAACAATAAAGTCATTAAAAAAACCCAGAGACAATCAAACAATCAAAAATCCTTACTAGTTCCTTACTACAAAGAGACCTCAGACCCTCTTTGAGTGAAATGTATTCTCATTGCACCAACACAAGCCCACTGAAACCAGTGAGCTTCCATTATGGTATTAAGGAGCAGAGTAACAGAGACATGCCATGTTGTAAAAGTTCTTTACATCTTTCTTTGAAATAATGACATGGGTCATTGTTCCAGACACCAGTCTGTCCCTACACAGTAAATCCTGGGTCTTTAAGATAGATGGGTTGTAATTAGAACTAAAACATGGCCTATGGGGAAAGATCTTTCCCCACTTAAATCACATTGTTTTCATTGCTGTACTGGTTTAAATGGTATTTTTATGTATGTGTCCAAAAGAGAACTCAACTGCAATATTTCTTTACTGCTGCTGAAATATTAACATTAAAAAAGCAGTATTTTACAAAAGTCATATAAACACAGTGCTTCCAACACAATCAATTTTGTTGAAATTATTTTACACCATCCTTCATCCTTGAAATTATATCCCTTCCTTTGTGGACTGTTTGAAAACTTTAAAAATTCTGGACTTATTTGAAGTAAGATTCAGCAGTACTGAGTAAAAATCAAAGTACTTCTTTTTCTCCCCAAGCCCAGAAGAATTAATTTTGTTGCCACTAAAGAAGAACAGGCACCCAACTTTTGAACAGAAACTGACCTAATATTTCTGAAAACCCTGCATGCAATTAGCTTCTTGTAAGAGCCATCTTTCAAGCAGTCTTTTTCTGCCTCTGAACTCCAAAAGCTGCTTATGAGATCCAGCAAAATTAGGATATTAATACAGAGCCATTCATCAAGCTCGATGGGTTTGTTAGAAGCACACTTGTCTAGTTAACCAACATTTTCAGGGTATCTTTCAAAGCAGACAATACTGTTAAGGGCCTCCTTATTATTTCTACTCCAGGTTTTTCACAACAGTGTCTGTCCAGCAATGGAAGCAATGCTGCCTTAGGAAGGGGTGCTCAGACAGCAGAGGGTCTCCCCAGAAAGGGAGCCCTCCTTGGCTATGGCGTGGTGTGGTGGCCTCGTTCCAAGATGCTGAGATGTCCAAAGGGACTGCTGGTACAGCAGGGTGTACACCTGCACCCATCAGTGCTGTGGGCACGTGCAATCACTGGTGGGTGTCCAAAGCAAAGAGAGCTGCTGCCCTCCTGATCCCAGGGACTGCAGCCCGTTTCTCAGAAACTTTGGCCTAGGCTGAAAAGAGGAAAATGGCTGGTGAACTGGGACGGCAAATTCACAGTAGTGGGTTGGGAACCAGGGGCTGTCTCGAATGTTTCGTTTTTCTCTTGCCTTTTTTCTTGATGGCCTACACTGTTCTCTGGGTTTGTTTTACCTTCACTCTGCCTTATGTTCAACACCATTTTGGTTTTTGAGATATATTCTCTTCAAGCAAAAAAAGCAATTTTTTTTTCCACCAGAAACATATGAACTTTAAGATTTTCCAGGAAAAATTTCTCACATCTAGACTCCTTCTTGGCACTTTGAGACACAAATCACAATCTTGACCTGTTCATTACTAAGCATGATTGTTTTTACAGGTCTTTTGTCTGAGCACTTCTTAAAGGCTTTGGTTTCCTTCTAAAACATGATGATTTTGAAATCTAAGCTTTGACAAAACAGAACTGTGATCTCCCATTGTGCTTGCAGTATTTGGTCTGCAAGCACAATGTCCTATGTGTTTGTACTGCAGGGGGATCTGCATATCGCCTAACACCTGCAGGCACCTCTAAAGCACAAATTATAACTAATGACAGAAGTTTTACCTTCGTGTGGTGATTCTGTCTCAGAAACCCAAACCTGATGTGTTTCCTCAAGCACTCAGATCCACTCTGTGGACAAAAGCTAAAAAATCCCTGTTGTATCAGCATATCCAAAGCTAAACTTAAATATTGCTCTTATCTAGGCATATAATCCCATCAGATTGTGAACCATTGGCTTTGGCAGTAGAATGTGCAATGGTGGCAGAAGTTGTGCTAAGGCTGGACACTTATCCTACCCCATCTCTGCCTCCTTTTTTATCCAGACTCACTTGGCTGTGCTGGCAGCACTAATTTACTGGCACCAGTACTGCACAAGTTTCAGCTAAAGGAGCACCATTTTCTGCAGTCCTATTCCTTAAACATTTATTGTCACATCTGTGACTTTTTCTAGTTCCAGGGTTTTATATAAGAAAGGAACATTGAGGTTATCTGATCAACTTATGTTGACAATACCCCACACATTGCAGAGGACAAGAGGATAAAACACTGTAAACATTATGAATGCTGTGTCTTCCCCCTTTCCCTTTTTATTTCCTCTAAACATTATTGGAGAAGAATGTACTGCAAAGTCATAAATAAAGTATACTTGTCAGAAGCTATGATCTTAAAATATTCTAAGGGTTTGTTTGTGTTCTCTCCATAAATTGTTTATTGGTCAATATGGACAGAATTTGCAAATGCATCCTCCTTTGCAGTTCACTGATATTATCTCCATTCTAAATACTTTCATCTAGTATTAAGCTTCCAAAAAAACCCCACTTTCTACCCTTTTTTCATTGATGAGAAATGTTCTAATGCTGAACGTTGAATTACGCAGCATTATGTTACCCTGTGTTTTTTAGCCTTAGGAGATGGTGAGCATTAAAGGACTGTATGATTTTTAAAGTTACTATCAGAGGTAGGGTTATGTAGTTGGCTTGATGATTTTTGAGTCATCTCCATCTACACAGTAAAGCAAATAAAAAAAGAAAAATCTCTGTAGAAAATAAGTTTCTAATTTATATTTTTACTTTCCTGTGTCATGTTAATGACACACTAACAGGCCAACACTGTGAAATGGTACCCTGGTGAGTAAATTATTATGAAAAGAAGTTTATCAAGGCAGTGATTTCAGTGTCTGAATAACCCATGAGGATACAGAACAGGAAAGATCTCTTTATCCACAGAAGACACAAACCCTTAACACAGAAAACAGACATTCTTCTAGCTCTCCTAGAGCCCTGCAGAGCAAGGTGGTCTTCCAATAAAACAATCATCCCGCATAGTGTGATATTTTAAATCAGAAGTTAAGTGGTTCAGTCCCCTCTAGATAGCTCATAAAGAGGCAAAAAACCCCCACCAGTAGACTTAAAAATGCTTTTAAATGCATGTAGTCATTGATAGATTGGCTATTTACAGCTAGTAAGTCAAATCTGTTATGACATTTGGTAATTACCTCTTCAATAAATAACTTGATGAGTTCCCAGAGAAAAGAAGGCAATTTATCTCAGAATAAAAACAGTTTTGGTCCACCAACCCTTTGAGGACAATTTGGTAGGTAACTGTAACTGTATGGGGATTTGGATGCTCAGTGATCATTAAAAATAATGGGAACTTAAGTGTCCAGATCCTACAGCAGTTTCAAACTCTTAGCCATGCTCTCCTGGGGTGACTACTTTTTGCCCGCTGCAAAGGTATTAACACTTAAACACTCAGGAAAAAAGAGAACAAACTGCATTAAACCCCAGCATCAGATGGTTATCTAGAAGCATTTTACTGATGTTTTACTAGATTGACACAGTGAAGAAGAAAACAGAACACCTTATAATTTATTTTTGATACTGCAATTATTGATGTTTCAACAAAACAAGGACTTCATAGTCAAAGGGTTCATTGGCAACAGGATTAAAGTGGCAACAGATTTTAATGGGAATGGATTTTTTGAGGCTAGGAATTTGTAGTAAAAAATTAACACCTACCTGCCACAAAACCATATACGTTTGTTCTGCGTAAACACCTGTACAGCCCAGTAGGGGATTACAGAGGTAATGCAATGGAGCTCTTTCTCCCAGGGGTGAGAAACAAATGAGGTGCAGATAGCAAACAGTAGTAGGGAAAGGTTATTAGCTACACTGGGTATCACTGCTGTTAGCCGTGGCTGATTCATTGCCTCACTAACAGTCGCCTATTTAGCAGGCTGCAATACAAATGAGTCTTTAATGGGAGCCCCTTCTCTTGCACAGAGCAGCAGGACAGCAAAGGAGGGCACTTGAAGAGCTACATGGGCCAAACAGGCAAGGAAAAGAGACAGGCAGAGACTGACAGCTCAGTGTTGAGCTGCTCTCTTCTTTCTCTCCTTTGCTTCCATTATAACTTCTAGACATTTGAATCTAGCAGCCAGTTCCCTTGTCCTCCACTTCATGCTGAGGTGTACCCTGGGCACGAGACAGCAGGAGCCCATCTGGAAGAGTGCATCCTCAACCACAGTGTATTTAATACAGTGCCTTTAGTGGCACCACTGAGCTCACCCTCACGAGGATTCACCTTTCCCAAGTCTATACTACACACAAAAAAAAAAAAAGCTTTAGCGGTGGTTCAGACCAACATTTCTATACAATGGTTACATTTTTTATATAGCCCTAATATCTACAACACAGTGCTGAAAGACATCTTTCTCTTGGCATATTGATGAGCAAAAACCTGAAACCACATGCAAATCTAGGAATATATATTTTTTAACAAACCCCCCCCCTCCCCCAATATTCTTTACTCACCCTGGAGACTTCTTGTGGGATCCAGATGCTGTTATTCCAATCTTTATCTGTTACCACAAACTCCTCTGCTTTCTGCCACGCTCATTTACAACCCTGTGGAATAGTTGTTTTCTTTTTGTATGAGTCTCTTTCCAAGCCAGAGCCAAATTTTATACTTGCAACCTATCAGATCTGTCCTTTTTTGTCTCTGTTATTCTATGAAGACATTTGCAATTTTTTTCTGTCTGCCTCACTATACAAATCCTGTTTTCTTGCCCTCCTGCAGCTTCTTTCTCTGTTCAGTCTCCTCAAGGTTTTGTTGCTATTATCATCATTTGTCTCAGCATGTTCTCTGTCCTCTTGAAGGCTGGTTTGACAGATCCTCTCTTGTCATCTGCTTGAAGGCTGATCTCAGCTCTTCCTTGCAGCGCTGTGCCTATGTTCCTCCTCCGCTACAAGTGTTTAATGTGGAGCTTGTTCTACCAGAGCTGCTCCTTGTGGCCCTTCCGCCTGAGGAGCATCTCCAAGACAGAAGGTGCATAGGGCTGTGGGCCACAGAGCCGGTCTGATAATGTCAATGGCTGACTGCTGCCTTCCCAGCAGCCCTGGCAGCCCTTCCCCTTGTCATTGTCAAGGATGTGCTCTAGCCATTTGACAGGATCTCCCCTGGGTGTCCATCGGGTGCCCAGAAAAGAGGGTGTTTAACCTTGCTATTAGAATAAATTTACCAACTCTTGCTCACTCCTCATGCATTCTTTGCATGGAGACTGTCCTTTTCCATATCACTTTCTGAAGGAGACAGAGCAGTAGCTCCTCTCAGGAGATGCAGTAGCTGTTTGCTGCATGCAGCCCTCCTTTGACATTGAAAGAAACTGAATGTCCAATTAAAACACACAGGAACCACTGATACACAGTCTTCCCATACTTGCCTTTCTGGGAAAGAATTTTTCTGTCCTTCATAGGTCCTTCACAAGGCCTGCAGATTTCCTTTTTATTTCTCCACTCTCTTCCTTAAAAACATTTTTGCTCTGAAGCCTTAATATATTACACCTGCAGGTCAAGTAATAGATAATATTTACTTTAATGGTTAATGTCCTCCAGATTATGCGTGGATTGGAGGATGCTTGGGGCAAAACTTCAAATTTTATTTGAAGGGAAATGCTTCTTTTCATTAAGGAAGCTCCGCTTTCCAGAAGTCAGTCTTCTAGATCACACAGAGAGCCACCATAACTTCACCTCTTAAAGCCTGTCTCTCGTCTTCAAAAGTATCTTAAAATTAAAAAAAATAGACTAATTTCAGCAATGGGCTAAGCACATAGAAGGTACTCCATAATTTAGTGAAGTACCTACATTATTCTTAAGAGATTTGCCAACTAGTGATGTACTACTGCTATTTTAATTTATGTTACATCGTGATTGCAATTCTAAATTAAACTCATACAGGCAAGAAAATTTATAGTTAAGCCTTTCTGTCAATCCTTAACTTTCTTCGCAGTAACAAAGTGACATATTGCAAGGGCTCTCGACTGTGTCTCACAATACCTAGGCATGTACAAAGGTTAATTACTGTATTGGATTTGAGTGACAAGGTTTTGCTGGTTGGGGAGAGAGCTACAGGGGTGTTTATGTGAGAGCTGCCAGAAGCTTCCCCCATGTCCCTTACAGCCAATGTCCACTGGCTCCAGGATGGACCTACTCCTGGCCAAGGCTGAGCCCATCAGCAACGATGGCACCACCTCTGGGATAACTTATCAAAGAAAGGGAGAAAAAACCCTTCTGCAACAGCAGCCACAGAGGAGAGTGAGGATATGTGAGAGAAATAGCTCTGCAGACACCAAGGTCTGTGAAGAAGGAAGGGAAGGAGGTGCTCCAGGCACTGGAGCAGAGATTCCCCTGCAGCCCCTGGTGAAGACCATGGTGAGGCAGCTGTGACCCTGCAGCCCCTGGAGGACCTGAAATCGAAGCAAGTGGATGCCCAAAGGTGGCTGTGACCCCCACGGGAAGGCCATGCTGTAGCAGGCTCCTGGCAGGACCTGTGAATGTGTGTAGAGAGCCCATGGTGAAGGTAACCTATGCTGCCAGGATTTGTGATCGATCCTGCAGGGACCCACGCTAGAGCACTTCATGAAGAGCTGCAGCCCATGGGAAGGCCCCACATTGGAGGAGTTTGTGAAGAACTGAGTTCTGTGGGAGGGAAACCATGCTGGAGCAGCGGCAGAGTGCTAGGAGTCCTTCCCACGAGGGAGGAGAAGTGGTGACAATGTACCAGTGACAACTGACTGCAGCCCCAATTCCCTGTCCCCCTGTTCCACAGGGAGGCAGAGAAATTGGGAATGAAGTAGAATCTGAGGAGAAGAGCTGTGTAATAAATTAAATTGATCTCCCCAGGTTGAGTCTGTTTTGCTGGTAACAGCAATTGGTGAGGCATACCCCCTGTCCTCAATTTGACTTATATTCTCTTTGTATTTTTTCTCTCCTGTTCAGCTGAGGGAAGGGATAGAGTGGCTTTGGTGGGCACTGAGATCCAGCCATGGTCAACACACTCCAGTTACAGAGATTAATTTTTTACCTTTAATTTGCTGAAAGGAATCATGCAGAAGAACTCAGCCCTGGTGTGCTCCCTTTCTGAAAACTCCTAGCACCTCTTGGGCTATGCTATCGGGCACTGCATAGCTCAACACGGCAAACCCTACACCTTTCAGTGAGTGCTTGTTCCATTGGGCATCTGCACAGAAGCAGGAAGGCCATCAGTCCTTCTGACAAAAGTAAAATGATTTACAAAAGGCCTTACTGAGAAACAAATCCACATGTTTACCCCAGGGGCCTCATGGCAGCCCTAACCAGCTCTATTCCTTCCCTCTTTGTTGGAGACATGAACTAATGGCATGGGCGCACAAGATCATCCCAATGCTGTCACTGCCAGAAAAAACACAAGATGACACAGATGGTAAAAAGGAGAAAACCAAGAAGAAAATTCAGAAGGCAGCCCTATTACCCAAATACTTCTGTGTTTCACTGGTTCCAGCTTAAGCTTGGACTGGTTGTGGTTTGGGATATCAACCCCTGAATGTTCAGATAAAAAGAGCCATTACAAAAATCGCCACAGTCAAACACTTTTAACACACAGAATGCATTTAGTGGTGTACCTTGAATTTATTTCTTAGCACATGAATTATGCTTTTCAAATCAAAACAAGTAGTTTAGAAATTTGAACTGCCTGAGACTGCATGAAATGCTCCTTTCATCCATTCATTCTGTAAATGAGGACCCAAGTCAACTCCTTCACAACAGTTACGGTTTCTCAAGTCTGCAAACACTTTTCAAATGTGGGCTCTATCTTTTGGAATGCCATCAAGACATGCTTGCTAGTGTTGTAGCTGGTGAATTTTAAGTGCTTAGCTTTCAGATGAAATGTATGTAACTATGTTAAAAATTCCTCTGAAAAAAGTAGGTCTTATACATGCGTTGCTGTCAGTTTTCACAGTTCTATCCTTTTTTTAATTACCCTAGGCATTCTGATTACAGAGCTACAAAGTAATCTATTTAAAGCTGGGTTTTACAGTGATCTAATGGGCACAAAAACCATACGGAATTAGAAAACATTTACTTCTCTTCCCCTTCTTCTTATATTGCCAAATATGTTTAAATGAAACTTGTTTTAAAAACAAATATTCCCAGGGTAAGGACTTTCATATCAACTTCTGGTTGTTTCTGTTGAAATAGAAACCTCTGGCAATTTTTTTCCTACTGAAATGTAAATGATGACATATCCTTAACTAGCAGCATTACATCACTAAAATACTAGGATGTGTCTTGCTTGCCTCAAACTTCCCCTTCCTTAAGTGCAATGCCTTAGAGGCAGCAGTGTTTAAATGGTACAAAGTACTCCACTAGCACCAGCCTGAATCTTTATTTAGGAGAACAAGCTTCACATTCTTCCCTGCTAACACAGTATATGGAAATGTTCAGCTCCTCCATAAAACACACTCATACACTATTTCTGTCTACCCCAAGGTACAGCACTGACATGACAGATTCATGTTCCCAGCTGTGACATAAGGGCTCTTTGACAATACCACAGTGAAAGCCCTATTAAGAAAACATGTGCCGGACCGTGCATCTGATGCAGTTAAATGCTATAAAAGATTTTCCAGGTGTTAATGAGTTGCACGAGCAGAATGAAAATGAGGGCGAACCGTGCACTTGGAAATTCTCAAGGAGCAGGACTCAGGCTCTCAGAGAGACGGACAAACAGCGCTTTATCAGCACCACTGGCCACGCTCTGCACCTGACCATACGAGGTGATGAGCGACCCCGACTATTCACTGGGGGAACTGTTCATTGAGGAACGTTTGCATGGGAAAAGACAGACTTTCATGTCTTCCTGTAGTTTACTACATCCTTTTTACTTTGCTCCATTTGGGAAAATGCTCTAGTCATTTTCCCCCTTTTAAGCATTTTTTTTTGTTGTTCTAAAAAGAAGGAAAACATTATGCCTGTTGCTTCTTGTTTTTAGTTTTATGAGGGATTCAGCTTGACCCAGTATAGATAAGAAATTGTATTTTAGTTCAGGCTAAAATATCACTACTTAGAGTTTATGTTTTACAGGACAGAGAGATAGTCTGTTGGACAATTTGAAAAGGCAGTGATTGAAATTTTTCAAGGCAATATTGAGGACTAATACAGATTCCTCTAAGATAAAATCCTGTGTATGGGTTGTCCTGAGAATTTCAACCACTGATACTTCAGAGTATGTGCATATGTTATTTTGTACAACAGCTACCAACAGGTGAAATGTTTATTCCTATAATCTCTTGACTTGATAAAAGATTGTTTCATTTCTTTAGCATGCGTGAATTTTATGGTTACTCTCCTTGAGGAGGTAAGTTTTGTTTTATCTATATATGACAGGTACATTGAGGGAAGGCTGCAATGCAGACTGTTTCATGCTGTTGTGACAACAATCACAGTCTTAATCCTGGCATACAACTGTATCTAAGGAAAAAAAAAAATTGTCGCCATGCTAATTTCAGCCTGACTTTCTGAAAAGGGGAAGCTCCCAGTAATATGAGAACCAATGGAGTGTCTCCTCTCAGAAGTTAATTTAGAACCACCCATTTTCTTTCCCACAGAAAAGTCAGTACTATTTTATCTCTCATTTCCAATCTAATATCCCAAGTTGTCTACCCACTCTTCCCCCGCCCCAACAGAGTTACTTAAATTAACTTGGAGCACTAAATTTCCTTAAAGGTGTAAAAAGACTAGGTGGAGAGAATAAGCACATCACTGTAATAACACATTGACACAGATTTTTGAAATGGATGTCTTAAGGGTTAAATTCCTCTGGCTTGCCAGGTGTTTTGTGCAAATGTTGCATTCATACAATGCAGTATCTGACCATTTAACCATATGTCAAACAATCTTTGCTATGACAACCAGATGTAGACATCGCCATGGAATGAAATTATCATTTTATTAATTACCCTTTAATTAGTTGATACAGGAGAGAACATGCAGTAATTTAGTCATAATTGGCCTGACTGAGACTCAATACTTAAAGGGATGGAATCTGTTTGTGAGACTACTTGTTATGAATAACAATTATGTCTGTGACAATGCAATTTTATAATGAAGATGTACTATGCATTTCAAACAGTATGAGTTAGTATTAAGGATAGGTATAAGATAGTATCCAGGATTCAAGCTACAATTTGATGGAAAATGTTTTCCTTGAATAAAAGTGTGTAATCCTCTGTGTATTTTGCTACACATTATAACAATGCAAGAAAGACCCCTTACCAAACTCACTGTGATGATCAAAGTGTGTTTTCAATGCATTTTATTATAGAAAGGAAGAGCCACTTGCACTTCAAACTCTTCTCAAAATATTTTAGCAATCTTCAAATTATTCTAGACTTTAATATAACATTTGCACAAGGAGTACACCATGCAAATTTTTTGAAACACTCTTTGACAAAACATTGTAATCAGAAACTTGAGCAGAGTCCCTTATGTGACCACTTGTCACCATGCTTTTTGGATTTTTGCAAGAAAGTGGAACATCCCTAGATTTCTTGGACTACATAGGTGCAAACAAAGTTAGCAGCATCCTCCTCTAGACTGCAGCAATAGATAAATGTCTTGAAGACATTCTTTCAACACAGATTGCTGTTAAGTCAGGACTACTCTTCAAGGATTGAATATTGAGTATCAATGTAGTAGGAGAGAGCACATTCAACAGCTTAATAAAAATGCTTGTAAAGTGGATCTTAACATTGACCCTTACATACCCAGGTATTAAGAGATGTTTTTACCATTCTGGAGCCATCATTCTGTCCTTGCTCTTCTAAACTCTATGACCTGAGAGAAGACTGCAGTGTTTTATATTAGTTTTGTACTTTTAGACGGACAACATGCCTCATGCTTTCGCCTCTTGTCTTTCCACAAAAATCTCAGAAAGTGCAGGTCAAAACCTTCAGCAAACACAGCTCCAACAAAATGTAACAAACTGCTTTACTTTTCAGAGCTGAATGAAAGCTGCCTCCTTCTGTTTTTTTCTCGCGATAGCTCTTAGTTCTTTGCATGTGCAGTGACAGAAATTATATTTAACTGAATTACTTTTAAAACCTTGCCCAATTACAGCATGCTTATTTATTTCTTTATGATGCATGTGCAGGCTATATTGATGTCCCCAAGCCAAATAAGTCTTTCATGTAAATGTTGTAAGGTGAAGGAAGTTATATGAATAAGTCTGTTTCCTTTTAGAAATCGTTCTACCTTGTTTAAATGACTATGGGCTGCTTTCAAAGTTGGTTTTTTGTTTTCTTTTTAAACACAACATCCTTTCATCCTTTCTGATGGTTAATTCACTATTATGCTTCTTTATCACAAATGTATGTATATATATATATATATGTATGGAAAAACATGCTGTATAGGAAAGCAAAACACCTTTTGCCTAGGGTGCCATCTTTCAGTTAATATCGGTAAGTCATATTCTGTTGCTTATAAGTGCATCTTGCTCCACAACTTATCACCACCTCCAGTACACTCACAGGTTTTATCTTCCAGCTGTGTCACAAGGAATAGCTAACACAGTGTAACAAGAGATCATTTCATTAGATTACCATGAAAGAATCACCGCTGCAAGGAACTTGAGCTGAACAGGGACACAACCACAGTGTTAAAAACTTGAAACAGTTTGCCATTAAAGCCTTGTGTGACTGCTTGAGAAATGTCTTAGAGCAGCACAAAAGCTGGCACCATTAGCTTTCATCCCTGCTGAGTTGGCAATAAAGTGCACACATAAGTAAAATGCATTAATTGGTATTAGTCAATCTAGTTAAAATGTTCATTCTCCAGGCATCTTCAGATTTCATTTCCATAAAATAGGATTTCTTTAAGTCTCATAATTTGATTTTGTCCAGCCCAAAATGATATTGACACAGTGGCAGCAAAAGCACAATTACACCCGAGCTCTACAAAGGTACTCTCTATCTAAATAGACTGGGACCCACGTGCTCCCAGTGTCTCTCTCTCTCTCTCTATCTCTCTCTCTCACACACACACATACACACACACACACAGAGAAAAAAAGCAACCCACATAAAAACCCCACAAACCTGCGGAAGAGGAAAAAGTGATGCATTTTCCTATCATTTTCCTATTGCTATTTTTCCTCCCTTTCCCCCGTATTTTTCCTACTGTGCACTACTGATTACTGCACTTTAAGATCAGAATGAACAATTAACTGCCTAATTATTCCAGTCACACCAAGCCACAATGAAATCTTTATTCAGTGTTTACAGCAATCTTTGGCAGAGACTGTCTTGCTGTTTTTAAACCAAGAAGAACTGCTCCCTTTGGCTCCCTTCAGCATCAGCTGCCTGGGTTTCAGAGCTGGATGCCAATAATCAGCCTCCTTTTTCTCTTCCAAAGTGGCTATTTTTTTTTTTTTTAAGGGTGAAAAGACCTATTCTCATCAAGTCCCCATATATTCTCCCTGATTTATGTCCCAGCCACTGGGTCTCTTCCTTCCGTATCTTTTACCATTTGTGTCCCCCTGCACCCCCTCCGCGCCGCTCCGGAGGCGCCCGCAGAGCCCCGGAGCCCCCGGACACCCCCGGACACTCCTGGATAGGGGGGCGCTTCTTCCTCGGGAGCCCCGGCGAGGGCGCGGGATGCGAGGGGTTGGGGGATAATTTCCAGCTCCGGCTGTACAGCATCCACACGCATCCGCACACGCACACTTTCTCCCACAGTTTTTTCTCGTTCTGCCGAAATCTCGGAGGAGGCTCTCCGCCCCGGGAAAATTGGAGGGAGCCGCTCCATGCCCCGGGCGGCTCTTTCTGCCCGCTCACCGTCCCTCCCACCTGCCCCCCGCTCCCGATGGGCAGCGGCGCCGCCGGGACGCTGCGAGCCCCGCTCCGCCCGGACTCTGCCCGCTCCTGCCGCCGCGGCAGAGCACCTGCGGAGCGGGGGAAGCTTGTCCCAGCCAAACTCCGGAGCGACCCGGGGTGGGCTCGCTTCGTTCCCCACCGCCTCCTCCTCGCCCTCCTACTGCGGCTGGCCAGCCAGGGGGTCGGGGAAAGAAATTAAAAAAAAAAAAAATAACAGGAGGAACAACTGAGATTAAAAGAATACTAAAATCCTAAAGAGAAAAAGAAAGAAGTAAAACAATAAAGGAGAAGAGAGGGAAAAAGAAAAAAAAAGAAAAAAGGAAAGGGGAAAAATAAGAAAGAAATAAAGAAAACAAAAATTCTAAAAAATGAGAAAAGAAAAAGGAGAGAGAGAAAGAGGGGGGGAAAGGAAAAGAGCAGAAGAAAAAGTCCGCGAAGGAGAGGTCGGGTTACCTTGCAGTGTGGAGGAGCTCTCGACTGCCTTCCCGGCGACGGGACTTCCCTCCTCCGCCGGGTGCGCCCCTCACATCCCCGCGCCCCGTTCCGCTGCCGCGGAGGAGCTGCCGCTCGCTCCCGTCTCCGGCTGCGGGAGCCGCTCGGGCTGGGGGGGCTGCGCGGGGCCGCGCGACCGCGGGCGGAGGAGGAGGAGGAGGAGGAGGCGGAGGAGGAGGAGGAAGGAGCCCCGCGGCCGCCCCGCTCCCCAGAGCTGCCTGCGGGAAGTGGTCGGCGCTGCCCCCGGCTCGGCTGCCCGTGGATATCGCGGCGGGTCCAACGCTGCCGCGGGGACCTGCGGGAGGCGATTGGTGCCGGGCAGCTGCGCCCTCCTGCGCCGCCCCCCGCCCTCCTTCCCGGGGAACCCCCGCCCCAGCTGCGGCCCCCGGGCTCCACGCAGCCCCCCGGCTACAGGAGAGCAACCGCGGGTCTCCCCTCCGCAGGGCTGCTTACATCTCGGGAGGATTCCAAAAAGGCACCACACTGGCTGCTGAGGTAGACCAAAAGTCACACCGGAGAGGCGAAGCGGTCCTTTATTTAACTAAAAGGGTACAGAGATGAAAGCTGAATTTCTTTGAAGGCTCGATTTTAGTTAATAAACACGCTGAGACTAATGTCAGAGGTACTTTTATGAGGGCAAACAGTAAAGTTTCCTGGAGGGCTTGTGTAAGACTTTGGAAAAACAACCAAATAATAAAGGGGTTTTACATCCACTTTTAAAGATCATTTTAGTGTTCATAAAAGATGCTGGGCTTGCTGAAGCACTCCCCATCCACAGAACAACAACTGCAAAGGCAGCAGCAGAACAAGGCATCCTTTCTGCCAAGTGATTCGTCTCGGTCTTGACCTGAAGCAACCAGGAGGGCAAGTATTTTTTATCCACCATTCCTGTGCCAGCCTTCACTTTTCTGCACAAAATGGGAAGGCAGCAAACTTGCACCAACTTTGATGATGTGTATGTATGAAAAGGAGAGGGAAACTTGTCCACTTGGGTATGAGGAGGTTATTACCTCTCTAATAGCTCCCTGTAGTAATAACTCCTTTTTGCTGCCAGCACACAGCCCATTCCCTGTCTCAGTTCAACTGGTAAATCTCAAGCAACTCCACTAAGCAGAGCTGTGCCCCATCAGTCTGTGGCCAAGCTGGTGAGTGGGAGTAGGAGACTCTAAATCTCATTATCGATTACCTGGGATGCTGCCAGTCCCTCAACAATTAGATCTTGAGATGAGGATTCAGCTTATACAGTCAAGATTTGTTTTGGGTGGTTTTTTGTTTTCTTTTTTTCTCTCCAGATTTGCACTAATGATTATTTGCAGAACTAAGGTCTCACTGGCTAGTTTTCTGGCCCTGCATTTTTCATATTGATCGTAACATAGTCATTTCAGCATTACAGAAGAAAAAGGGCAGTCAGATCTCTGGAGAGAAGTTGCTAGAAGTTTGAATGCTGGCAAAGTGCCCAAAACAAATGATGAATTACAGCTATGATAAATGAAGACTTGGGTGTGTTGGGAAGCCATACAATGTTCTCCCAGTTTCCTCTATTTAATGTTCATCTTTGAGCTCATCCTCAGGCTGATGGAACATTTTTAATGTAGCAGTTGGAGGAGGCAGGAATGGCCTTTGTCAGCATTACTGTTCAGCCACAGACACTCGGCACACTTCTGACAAAAATAAGGCAAAATAGACCCCTCAGTACCACTTTTCCCTAATACTAGGACAGAATACTTGTAATAACATCTGGAAAATATCAGAACACCATTACTACTTCAAATATGATGGCAAGAACAATGACCTCTTGCTAGAATTGAGCTGGTTACTGAATCAATGCACTTACTTCTTGTTGTATATGAACACATCCCCATTCCTCTTCTTCAATGTGGTATACTTAGAATAAGTCTGATTGCAATCTTAAAGGCTAAATAGATGCCATTTACAAGGTTTGCATTTCAGTTTGAGTGTAGTCTGTGAGCTTGTTTTTCTTCCCTGAAGCTGGACTGCAGTAGGGGGAAAAAAGTCAGAATAAAATACATATGACAGCTTTAAAAGAATGGCAGCTCTAATGGATGTCTTTTGATTATTGCATGTACTACAGTACCATGAAAATAAAATGCAGTACTGTCTATTGTTTAAGTTTATAATTAAAGATAAATATATAGTACATAAGGCAGCACTCCTATGTGACACAGAAAACACAAGAGAATTCTATGATACACAGAGTAAGCACTAGAACAAATCCATGCATTTAATAAATGAACTTCTCAGTTTCACATACACAGCCAAGTGGGTTATCCAAACATTGTGTTTACTAAAGCAGATGTGGCTACACACTTTAAATTCTGTCTCATGTGTTGTCTTCTTTCACAGGGATGTGATTCAGAAATGTTCCTGTGACTTATCTTTTCTGAGAGCTGTGCTACACAGTAAAATAGGAGGAACTTATATTTTCACCATCTCATGCTCCCCTCCCAGTACACAGCTGAATCATGCAATCTGAAGAGTGCTTTCCTGTGCCTCTGAAATTAGAGATGAGAGAATGTGGCAAAGAGCATGTTCATCAACTCACCTGTTGCAGCATTGCATGAGTAAAACTATTAAACCTTACATGAACAATAAAAACCAATTTTTGAATCTAGAGCATTTATTAAGCACAGTTGTGATTAAGTGTCCTTACATGAAAAAAGTGAATCTTTCATCTCCAGTACTTGAAGTTCTCCCTGCCACCATACTATACATAATTCTAAAACCATACAAAGTAAAAAAAAATACTAGAAAATGCAGCATGCTGAGTTGTTTTAAAATTTAGAGGCTTTCTGAGAGATGAAAGAAGCATTTTGCTATCACTGTTTGAACAAGAGAATTTTGTATGCTGCAAGGTATTTACACTGTTCTCCTACGAGGAAGACTTTGAAGATGAAGCATTATATATGGATATTGCCTATGTGTTCATATAGCTTTCTGTCACGCAGGACTGAAACAAGACATGAGTTACAAGTTACCTAAATGACAGAGGTGAAGGAGCAAAAGAGGAGAAAGCAGGAAAACAACTATTTTCCACATTTATGTTATTGCATGTCATACAACAGCTTTTATGTTTCCCTCTTATACCCCTGCCTCACTTTATCCAACTTGTTTCATTATTCTTCTGACAAGAAAAGAGGGTTTGGATTTTGCAGGTGTGGACTGTGTGTAGTGTCACTTTAGAGGTGGCTAACAAGAAACACTCTTTACAAATACTAGAATGGTATATTTGCACCAAGAGATGTCAGAGAAATTGATATGATGGAATTTTTGTAGCACCTCTGTGACTTTTTAGAATAGTGGGTGTTTATTTAACCATTGATTTGCTTTTGTAGTTGATCATGACCTAAACTGTATTGGTTTGTATTGCGCAATAAACAATGGATTTTTAAAATACAATTGTTAAGGGCACTATAGAATCTATTTGAGAAGGCAAAAAGAGTGAATATTAACTAAAAAAGATTCCATATACCAAACAATAAAATGATTCCACGACCCAAAAGCAGTAAGTTTCCAAAGCAATAAAACAATATTGCACATTGCTGAAGAAGTGACATAGTAAGACACTGCATCTATAACAGGAATGGTGAAAGGAATATGTGCGGTCATAAAGTCACATCCATCTCTGTAAAATGTTACTAAACCAGTAATAGGAATAGCTTTCAAGTTGTCATGTCCACAGGGAAGAATATCAGCTGTACTTGCAGCCAAGAAAGCACAGTGTTACGTGCTACAATGGTGAAACTCCTGAATGCTGTACAGTCTGTTCAAAAAGCATGTATGCACACAAAATCCAGTGGAGAAATTAATAAGACTTCAGTGCAGGACACAAAGACATGTATGTGGCTGTGCCTGTTCTGCTGCATGTATACAGATGTACCCCAGAACCTCTCATCCAAGACATGACTTTCTCCATCACATGCTTTGCTTTTGGCCTTCACTCTCCTTTTCTTCCAAGGAACCAGGGATGTGTCCTTCAGGCCTCCCCTTGGGAGGGAGGCCTGATTTTAATCCTTCTCAAGGGGTTATCTGAGCTTGCCACTGTCAGAAAAACTTTGTAATGTTTTTCTTCCTCTGAAAAGAGGGATCCCCTCCCTCTTTGCTCTGCCTTTTTTTTTTTTCTGTTTGTTTTGCCTTACACAGTCACTTAATATAGTGATTTATCTCTTCTGTTGCTTATGTAGGGTGGGGAAGGCAAATCTGACACAGCTTTTTTCTTAGTGACCTTTCTTCTATATTAATTAAAGAAAACCTTATTCAAGCATGTATTCAAATCTGGTGGCCATCTGGAAATACAGCCTTGTTTTGGGCTATCTCCTGTTCTTTAAAATAAAGTCTTTGTCTCTGCCACCTCTCCTTAAACTTAATTATCAGTTTATGATTTTAGTCTTGTTTTAGTTTATTGTTTGTTGGAAGGTCTGTAGGATTCAGCATCTTCTATCTCATAAGTAAGAGATTAAATTAAAATATGGACTTCTGTTTCTGCAAAAAGGATCATGAGCATGGTCTGCTCCATCAGTGTCTTCAGAAAAGTAATTTGTGATCTGGAGCCACTGAGGAAAATATTCTCTTTCTCTCCTGCTGAGAGATGCATTAGCTTTTCCTCCACACAAGTCTTTAAAAGTCCACAGCAGTGGCAGGGAATCCCAAGAGTAGGAGTCAGCTTTACAGCTCTGGACTTTATTAATTTAGTTTGAAACCTGATTTGGTTTCAAGGCAGCAGCAAGAAAGTTTACCAAGTCCTATTCACATGTCAAAATGTCACCTCAGATGGAGGGCACCAGGGGACTTGCGTGGCTGAAAGCCTCAGAGGGAGCTGCCAAGGAACTGCCATGTCATGTTGGCCTCGGCCTGGCCTCTCCCTGCCTGCACCCTTTTAGTTTTGCTTATTTTTATCAGGGCATCTGGAATTTCCAAATGAAAACAAAGGAAAAATGCACACAACTGTACTATTGCAACTCTACCTACTCTTAACAATTTTTCTCCCACAACATTTCTAATGGAATGCTGATGAGCAGATTTTCTGCTCTTCCAGGCATTTACTAAACCAGTTCTGAATATCTCTGAATACTACTTAGGTAAAAGGAGTGAATTAT